AAAATACATTGTTTATTTACATGAAATTCGAACACGCGCTGCGCGACGACCACCGCGCTTTAAACAATTCACGTCATGGTGTAGGTTGAACGATCTCTTGTACGTACCCTCGTACCCTCGTTTCGTCATGTATTGATTGGTCAGTGCGTCGATCATCGCTATATGTCTATGATCATGATCGATGTACGCCAGCGGTCTGCTCACATAACGAGAGGCCGAAGTTGTTTTCAGGGCGTTGAAAAGAATTTCGTTTTTATCAAAAGGAGAAAAATCTGATAAAGCTAATTTTTAGTAGCACATAACGTTAGTGTTCTATCACAATGTTACGTTTTATGTATATTTTGCTTGCGGGTGTTGACTCTCTATAACTTTACATTTATACTTTCGTGGAATCAATTCTATTTTTATTCTTGAAGCAATTACAAGTATTATGAAAACTTTGCACTGTTCTCAATATGATTAGTATCAATATGACATTCTGGAATTTTGTTGAACTAGTTGAACTATTTTTAGCTCCGCTGTCGACTTTGTCGAGCGGAGCTTATCATATGAGTGATTGTCCGTCGTCGTCGTCCGTCGTCGTCCGACGTCCGTGTCAATGTTTTACTTTTTCGACTTCTTCTTGAAAACTACAAGCCTAAATGCTTTGATACTTGGTGTATATGTACCTTGGGTAGACCTCTCTTAGGTTTGTTCATTTCATGTTGATATCTTTAATTCTCTAATTTTGGTGAATATTTTTGTCATTTTTGGTAAAAACTGATATTTTCGACTTCTTGTTAAAAACCGCAAGTGCAATTGCTTTGATATTACATCTATAGGTACTACATGTGGACCTCTCTCAGATTTGTTAATTTTGTAATGATATCTTTAATTCTTTAATTTTGGTGATTATTTTTGTCATTTTTGGTAAAAAGTGATATTTTCGACTTCTTGTTAAAAACCGCAAGTCCAATTGCTTTGATACTACATATATAGGTACTACATGTGGACCTCTCTCAGATTTGTTCATTTCGTGATGATATCTTCAATTCTCTAATTTTGGTGAATATTTTTGTAATTTTTGGTAAAAAGTGATATTTTCGACTTCTTGTTAAAAACTGTAAGTCCGATTGCTTTGATACTATTCATATTGTTCATTTTCTAATGATGTCTTCAGTTCTTTAATTGAAATGTGCATTGCTAACAGCGGAGCTATCTCAGCCGATAGGCTGCTTGTTTATCTTCATTGCTTTAATTTTTTCCCGGACATAATTAGAAAACCTCGTTAATAGTGTATTTTCCCTCCTTACCATTATACATGTATTACCATTATGTACTGATTCATGTATCCATGCCGACAACAGTTAGATTACTTAGACCGGGCAAAAAGTTGGAAATAGTGGTCCCAAGTGGTCCATTTCCGTGTTAACTGAAGTGGTCTCACAATTCAAAGAACTTGAGTACTTCAATCTTTTATTTGAATATATAATAAACCATTTAATCTGCAGAATTAAACTAACAACTATTCTACCATTTTGAATAAAACAAAATAAATCATTCAAAAACTCATTCTACCTTTTGACAAAATGTACAATGACAAATTCTGTGTTTACATATCAGATAACGAAGAGAACGAAGAGGAAGAAGACACAGAGAATACAATAGATGTTGACTACGACACTGATTTTGACATCGGAAGTGAAACAAACCCAGACACGTTTTTCCCGGAAGTAGACGGCGATGACTATGATAATAGCGGCAGTGGAGATACAGAAATAGTTGAAGAAAACAACCAATCATTTATATAAATAAATAAATAAATAAATACAACCATTACAACCATATAGTATATCATAAAATAAGTCCAACATCCAAGTGAACGCATATTTGTAATTGAACTTTTTCAAATTCCAAAGAAAACATACACACAAAAAACATAATAAATAAACACAATGGTTCAACGCGGAATAATCGTATTTAGCCTCGGATGAGGATACTTAAGTTGGTTGGCATTTTCATAAAGGCTGAGGCGAGGGCCGTAGTAGATTCTACTATTAATTGATTTGTCCAAAGATAAATTTAATATTTTTGTCGATGCCATTTATACCTCATAATATTCTGTGTGGCTAACAGCATGGGTATTTCGATTTTTCGAATCATATACTTACAGTGACCTCTCGCGGGTGTCGGGATCCAATAAAACAAAAACGTGACTTATCGATGACGAACTGACTGGATAACTTTCGCACGGACTTGCTGCTTAGTTGGAAACTAGAGATAAGAATAATTGATTTGTTCACATTGCAGTGAGTTTTATATGGCGTTATCAGAGCAATGATGACCGAGAAACTCGACTTAGTGAGGGATACACTTACAATGTCTTTAAAAATGGTGCAGCATTTAACATATAGAATGCGGGTTGGTGGGTACTCGGTAAGAAAAAATTTTGCCTTCAATTTTCGGAGCCGCAAGATTCTATAATTAATTACAGTTCTGGTGTAATGTACAACATTTATCATCACAACAGAAAGTATATATGGTTAATAGGTTATAGCGTCTTAATTACTAGTACCGTATACCCGGGACATTTGATGTTATTGTGTTGTCATTTTCTTTTTCGAGTGTCACAATTTAATGACTTTTACAATTCCACCGAGGCTGTATATTATGAGTTGACTCACAGTCCCTCCAGTCCTTTTTGTGGAGGAACTGTGGTTGACTGGTTGAGTAGTTAGAATATTGCCCTCTGAGGTCCTATGCTGTGCGTTGTCAGAGGGCGAACTCACGGCATTTTGTTGTAGTGTAACGTAGAACAAAGCATAAATGCATCGAGTATAAAAATAACGATCGTCGCTCATTATATGTGATAGTGATTATAATTCAACAAACCCGACTGGTTCATACAGTATATGCCAAAGTATCCCATCTTTATATCAATGTAATATAACGTTCAGATGGTTAACGTAACTCTAAAAATCGTTGAAATTAAAAAAATGAATTTAGTTTACATTTGTATTTTTTATATCAATTGTATTTTTTCCTATTTGTAATACAACACTAACTGAAATATGTACTCATATTGAAATGTGTGTTTTCACAAATCAAATTGTGTTGGTTCGACGCTTGGTGGCGCTCATACACTAACTATTGTTAGACAGTGTTTCTATACACCATTTATAAAAATAACATTATACATTTTTAAGCTTAAATTAGCGTTGAAGATTTCGCCTTTGTTTTTAAAACTTAGATCTGCACTCCAGATGTTACTCCAGTTTATGGATAATACCTTAATAACGCCTTTATAAATTGGAGGGTAATTAGTAATAATTCACTTCTTTAAAATAAAGTATCCCTTTTATAGATTCTTCTCCATGTATTGACATACGTGTGTGTCTTATTGTCAGATCACTACTATTGTCACGCTGGGATCGCCGCCCTCATCAACTAAAAGAGAACTGAACAGTTTCTTTTATATTACTTACAAGCACTGCCGTATATTTTAATTGCAAATCTTACGACCTGACAGTTGTCGATTGGTACAATCTGCAGTTTACTACCCGCCTTTATTTTAACGGGCTACGCCTATGGGCATTTGTTGACTGGACGACCGAGTGTTGGAAAATGGCAACACTGGATTTCCTCGCACTTGTATGCAACGTTATCCGAGGGAAGACCAGCCACTGAGTCTTCTTTGCAGTCGAGTAATTGCCATAACAACATAGTATATAGATACAATGGCGTTTCCCCGCCAACCGGACATGTCTCGAGTAAAAGAACGTTAAGTCTACCAGTCATTCGCAGGTATGTTACAATTCGGACAGCCTGACAATTGTTCGTATACAGACAAGTTCCTCGCGATAGTCATAGTACAATGTACTATGTTACGGTTTTGGTTTTGTTTAATCAGCCCAGAGTCTCACAAAATGGCGTTTCGTATGTGACATTCCTTTTTTATGGCATTACAAATATTAATTCAATTGTTTAAAAGTGCCAATATCCACGGATCATTCTGGTGAAAACACGAATATGACACAAAAAGTACAATTTTTATAGCCGGTTTATGTCGGTAAAAGATATATTTTTACCAGACAAATGGTGCGTTTAGTTTAGCGCTACATAGAATCACAGGACTTCGTATGGCCTTAAGGTCACAGGTCGTCCGCGGTTGCCAAGTTTTCTCTCTCGTGCATTAAAAATATGTGGGAATTGAATAGAATGAAATCAATTTATTTATTTTAGCATATGCGGCATGCATTGTGGTCAATTCACAAACGTTTATATTTACATCAATGCTGGACATGTTCACAATGGGGGAATCCAGTCAATGTCGCCACATCAACACAGTATCTGTATACAAAATGGGTAAGTCCAGCAGGACACCAGCGATAAATGCCGATACGTTTGGTGATAAACATGAGGGAGGGAGGGGTGAACATAATGTAAATAATATTAAAATGATTTGAATGTCGATCGTCTGAATCATTACTAAATTTTCTTCGTCAGAAACTGTTCCACCATGATTACGCCTGGGACCAAATAACACATTCTTCCATTTAAAGCGGGAGGGTCGTCATCTGCGCACGCGCGCGAATTGAGTCCCAAGCGATGATAATAACACACGCTACTATAAGAACGCAAAGGCGCTGGGTAGACGCTTGTTTGTAAACAATGACACGCTATGGCCACCTGACGCATGCGTGGGTGACGACTCCCCCACTTTAATCTCAGAAGCTAAATATATCATCTGCCTGTGAGCGCGGGATCGTTTCTAGCTAATGTCTATCCATGTCTATCCTATGTGAGCACATTTGCCCATATTTCCCATGATGCAGTATTTTACCCACATGCTTTTGAATCACATTTTTCAAAAAGCAGTAATTGTTTATTTATTATAGTAACACAGTGGTCGCGGCAAACGAGAATTCAATTGGCCGTAAACAATAGTTTAAACTATTCAGTCCGAAAAACCAGGTTTAGTTACAAGTACTAGACCCTTCGTTTTTTATCATCGTATTCCAATAAAACACCAAGGACAATGGCACTAGCTGTGGGACTGTGATGCTTACAAACCCCGGGCAATAATAGAAATTAAAGTGACACACCGCAAAACAACAAATGGCTCTATTTCGAAACTGAGATTGAGAGCTGCATTTATAGAAAGACAATGTTACTTTTATTCATTGTAACTCGATGCCGATCCAACCACGGCGACATAAAGAAAACCGCCCAACGCATAGCTTAGATAGAACACAAAGATGCTCTGTAGACCGTTAAAGCGTGCTTCAACAACAATTATATTATCCGCTCTCGGGCAACTTTTTATAAACTGCTACTCGTATCTTGGCCATGGTCTGGAACGAATGTTTGGAATCTGTATTACCCCTTCAGTTATTTACTGTATCAAACACCGCGGAATGAATCACTCGGTGGGTAACTCGGCTCACCTACGAGCTTCAAGGCATTCGTCTTCTAGTGTCTCTATGGACACGTTCATAACACAGTGAATGCCAACTCGGTGGAAAAGATTCGTTTACAACACACACCGTCGTGTATTTTGGTTCTCACACCGTCTGCATGATGAACGTAGATATACTAGCACTGTGACGTATAGGTACCACGCCGAAATCACGTGTAAAAGAATGTTTGCATCGTTGAACTTGTCCCCACATAACTGCGGAGATAGCAATGAACACAGGCCGAGAAGGTCACCAGCGTCGTCCCAATATAATGCCGATACTGGACGCTTTCCTAGGTATGTTTTATATCCTGAGAAATTAATCGGAGTAGACACACCGCGGTGTTGTTAAAATTATTTAAAAAAAAATACCGGAGAATACTCATGTACTCCGTTAGTTAACGACGCCGTTATAAACAATTTGGGGCTATTTCAAAAAAGACATTTTTTTTCAAGTAATTGGTGATATTTATATTAATTTTAACTGGTGTGTGTAGTTAGGATACGTATTTTGGTAATCATCAGTTCTGCATCTCATTTAAGAATGTGACTTTATTCACTGCACGCGGTATTTAGTACACACTGTCACCCATCACAGATCTACGCACGGCATGTTTACATATTGCAGCGAAATGCAATTAAAAGGGGATTAGTTTGGCGTTACAACATACAATAAACATCAAAATCGGGCATTTATATTTTCTTGAGCCAAACACTTTGAGTCGATGCTTGAGCTGAGTATCACAACTTTTATTGTCGTAAGTAGTATTGTCAAGTTCAGCGCCCTCTAGTGGGCGTATTTGTTCACTCCCCCACGTCTCAATGAGAACATATTCACAGCGCTGTCTGCGCAGTTGGCTTACTAGATATACCAAACATTATTT